CACAAGTAACCTTCATAGGTGTAATCGGAATAGATTAATCATTTTTGAATCGAAATCTCAATTCCATATAGTACTGAGAGGGGTCGACATTCAACTTGTTTTGTAAATTATGGTACATTTTCGCATATGTTGTACACTCCGTTATGGAAATTGGAGTACCACCACGTCTATCGTTTGTCCATCTCCATATCCATTGATCTTTCTCATCCAATTCGAAGTCACTAAAGTAACAAACTGACATTACAACCATATCTGCAAGAAGAAACATAATTTTTTTAAGAAAATACATAGTCGAAGATTCGGCTTTTAACAGGAAATTAAAAAAAAAGCGAAACAGTTGGGCATAATTTTTTTAAGAAAATACATAGTCGAAAATTCAACTTTTAACAATAATTTTAAAAAAAAGTGAAACAGCCATAACAGTCGGCTAAGCAGCCGGCCGGCTGTTTCTCGCCTGATCCATTTCGCCCGATCCATTTCACCCTAAAATGCAGATGGATTTTTTTTCTCGTTCAGATTTTAAAAAATTATAGATCTGTTAAAAAAATTTATCTACATTAACTATCTATATCGAAATAAATTTAACGATTAAAATGTATACTGATTTAACAAAAATGAAATTAAACATACGTAAATACACTTATCGATTTTCGAAGTGATTGATATAAAAAAAATTCAGGCTTCAGCTTTTGACAAATTTTTCAGATTTTAAGGTTGAAACAGATGAAAGATGAAAGAGTTTTTATCTGTGTTGAAATAAACAGATAACAAAAGTAAGTTGATTTTGAAATTTTACGGAGGTAGTGTTTGGTTTTTATTTGTTAACAAAATAGTAGTATTGTCTTTTAATCAAAACAATATTTTTGTAATTGTTTTATATACTTAAGGGCGTTTTTATCTTTTGCCATTAAATAGACCATTGTGGAAATGTGAATAAGTTGAAAAGTCAAAATGGAAATATGCATATTTGACTGGATCAATTTTAAAAGTACCCCGACCGTTGTCTTATAGATCATTGTATGTCCTTACCGATAAGTAAAATGTGTTTTTATTCTGAAATATGATTCAAAGTTGAGGTGTATTACAATTTAGCCCTTGTTGATACGGATTAAAATTTGATTTTTAGTATATTTTGATAAAAAAATAATTAAATGTGTTGACC